GGAGGGTATATTGGACAACCTCTAGGGGTCCCTGATAACAACAATGTCCAAATAAAAATCTAAGAGCTCTAATGCTGCATGACTTTGGTATGTGAAAAAACGATCTGTAAAATAGGTTCTGTAATGTATCCATTTTCCTAGGAAGGCAATTTTCTGGCCATATTTCTAGCCCATATAATGCATCTGCCCATACCAAGGATTCAAAAAACCTCTATGCCATTTTTGTGTCTTTTAACTCCAATTTACTTAGAACATAACATAATGTTATTAATCTGGAATGTCCTACATTGAAGTTATTCATGATGTGACTTGTTTTGTGACAACCATTTTGCAAGCAACCCCCTAGGTAAATCCCTACTTTTGAGAGTGTGCAGTTCACCCCATCAATCTGCCATGTCACTCCTGATTTACTTGGATTTCTTACTGCTTTTGATGATAAAAGCTCTGTCTTATTAGCATTTATTTTCAGTCTATTAATGTTGCAGTAGTCAACAAAACGATTTACAATATTCTGCAATTATAACTTTGAGGTTGCTAGTACAACCATATCATCTGCAAATTGCATAACATTAACTTGACAGGTACCAATGTCTATAGCTCCTGAGCCAACCTTAATAAATTTGGGTAGATCACTTACAAATAATAAAAACAATAATGGTGATAAGCAGGAACCCTCTTTTCATCCAAGATTTGCTGTGAAGACTGAGGCTTTCTTGTTACCAGTGATAACTTGGAACTCAGTTTCATCATACAAACTTGCAAGTGCTTTCAAGAATTTGAAGGATACACCTAAAAGTGATCAAATTTGATGACATGCATATTTTTTCCTTGAAACGCATTTCTGCAAAATATCTTTTCAATTGCAAATCTTTGAAATGTGCATGGTGCAACCAAACCTTTATTTGCGCAACCTCTATGTGGTGTAAATAAAATAAAATAAATAATGCTGTGCCTTCTTTCCCTGGTATTCTTGACCTTTTGTGGGACTTCCTGTGCTTTAAAAATAAGAGACACAAGATTAAGAAACATTCAATTTGTTTCAATTCTTTGAGCCAGCTGAACAGAAGACTAAATTGAAGTAAAGAAACCTTCTAAATTTATCTTCTGCAACATATACCATCAGCACTAAATCCAGCAGACCAGTTACCCAGAATTCTCTCAAGATACAAAGCTAGAAAACTTGATGCAGAATGGAAATTGGAGGAACAATACTTTGACGCAGCCTGCAAATATTTCCAAATTTATCCAACAATTGATTGGTATGCAACTACATTGAACGCGCAAATACCACAATTCTGTTAATGGTACTTTCAAAATCAGGCTGTATATACTGATGCCTTTCTGCAAAATTGGAATGATGAAATTGGATTATTCTTCCCTCCATTTGCCTTATTAACCAGGGTGATACAAAAAATGGTGGAAGATTGAGTAACAGGGATCCTTATACATCAAAACTGGCCATCACAACCCTGGTGGCCCATACTTCTACAAATTGATCAACATACCTGGACCTTCCCAACCTAGCAGAAGCTCTAATGCTACTGCAAAATTCTACTGCTTGACACCATCTCAGGAAATCAACCCTGCAAGCATCTCTTTTTCTGCAGAACATCTAGACAATGTTGTACAACAAACAATAGCAGCAGCTGGAGCAGAAATGACGCAAAAACAAGATCAGGGAATTGTGGCAAAGTTTTTAAATTTTGCCAAACAAAATGGACAAAATGTACAAACAATTACATCTGATATGTTTCAGAGATTCCTTGCTGTATATACTGCAATACCTCAAAAATATACCTTTGGTTATATATGGCAAATAAGAGCAGCAATATCACCCAATGGTTTGCAGAAAACAGAAAAGAATCAATCATTGACCAACAAAGATTGGAACAATTCATGAAAGGAGCAAAAAGAACATCCAAAAACTTTGAACCAAAAACTTCAGTTTGGGATGCAGACATATTGTATTAAATAATATTTGTCAACTCCAACTCCCAACTTAAATTCTGGCACAAGCAAAGGAAACCTTGCTTATACTTGCTCTGGCAACAGGGCTACAAGTGGATGATATATCCAAATTCGGAAAAGATTTTTGGCAAGAAGGAAACAATTTGTTCATTCCTTTCCTAGAGATGCAAAAAACATCAGCAGCTATGCCAAAAACTTGGCCAGGCATTTGCCTAGCACCATATACGACTGATCAGCGTATATGTCTGATTAACCTAGTAAAAAGATATGTACAGATGACAGCCTTCAATGAAAGAGCCTCATATCTATACTTGTACTTGCTGATAATGGCCAGCAAGTGCAAAAAGCAACACTTTGTCAATGGCTAATACAAATCCTAGCCAAAATGGGTATTAAAAATATGCACGGATCGATAAGATCAGCAGCTGCAAGTTTTGCATGGGCCAAAAATAGATCCTTTGACTCAATTGCAAAACTCACAGGATGGAAGCAGGAAACAACCTTCCAAAAGCACTATAACAGGCAGCTTACAAAGAGGGGACAAAATCTAATGGACCCCCCAACACCCTGCAGCAGCTGTGCCCTAGGCACTTCCAGGCGCAGATTGACAGTCCCAAAAATAGATTTGACTATTCATTTTTCTCAAAAATCTTCCTTAACATAACAACTGGAGATTGGCAATAAAACCATTCAAAACAGGAAGAGAAAAACAGTGTTGGTCCCCAGGGATGCAATTGCAACACAAACTTGAGCTTGCGTAGCAAATTGCGGAATTGCCAAAAAACAGTGATAAGTGTTTTACAACAGCTGCAGCCGGTTTTTGTGAAGTGTGAATAAAAACATTTTCCACCAAAACAGTTGAAAACATGCTTCCTTTTCTTAATATGTGAAGAAAATTGTTCTCAACAACATTCCCTTGGTGACATTTAAAAGTTTTCTTGTGCAACAGCACAAAAAATATCTTAGACTTTGAATCAGATTCTAAAGATTTGCAGTGAAGAGAATTAGTTTGAGTGTAGTAACAAACCCCCAGGCAAGGGCACCATATTAGCCTGGGGAAGGTTACTACTTACCTAACTCAATTCTCTTCACTGTCCCAAATCAATAAAAAAATCCCAACCCATCCCTCTATGAAAAGCAGATCCATGTCCAAGATCCTGCAAAAACTCTGAGGGTGGGGGATCCTGGTAGCTACATATGTGTCAGTATTTGCAGTGAAGAGAATTAAGTTAGGTAAGTAGTAACCTTCCCCAGGCTAATGGTGCCTTTGCCAGGGGGTTTGTTATTTTATGTTACATTCTTCATAGATGACTGAATCGGGAAACTTTGCATAACATTTTAGAGTAATTTCAGCTGAGAAGTGCTGTGCTGGTTGTGTTGAATTGAATTTTGTCTTGTTGCTTTGAATATTGTCATGTGGAGTTCATTCAATGCTTTGCGTTTGGTCAAAGTCAAAATGATCAAGTCACCTGAGTGGACTGGGGGTAATATATTGTTTTGATTCCTTTTGAAGTTGGTCCAATACTCAAAAACACTCCAAGTACTGTATGTTGAAAGGATCAATTTAACCTTACAGCCTGAAGAATTGATTAATCTCTCTATATAGAGGATTAACGCCTTGGGTATTTTTTGTTAATTGCATGCTGCAATTCAGCTAATTTTTATTCATTTCTTTTGGACCCAGATCAAGAAATTTTATGGTATTCAATTTGAGAAATCGCATTGTTGCATGTTGGTGTTGATTGTTTCTTTCCTTCTGATTTTTTTTTCCTTAGTTCCGTTGAATACTTTGTTCAATGTTAAGGAATCACGTGCATCTATGCTGTGATTGCTCGATATTGTATACTGCTTTGATGAAAACGTTACCTGTTCCTCTCAAGTTTGTGTGGAATTAAAATTGTTGAAATATCTCATGATTTTATGACTCCTTCTTCACACAAAGTGGTGCACTCCCATTGAGATAATAATTAGGGAATATAGGAACTTATCTGATGGCACTCTCAGCCAGCTGGAAATTTAGTACTGGATATGACATTTTGGAAGTTCATTTGTTGGGAGTTATGACTGAATTTTATTCATAAAAATGAAGCAACTGCAGGGGCGTTTGGTGTGCATTACATCAAGTTGAAGACTTGAGGTAAACCTCAGACTTTTTCCATATGCATTATACCCAAAGAAACCCATTCATTTTCGCAATTTGAAGAGCTGAAGGGGACAATTTCCAGACTATGAACAAACTAAGGTTACTGATATATATTTTTTGCTGCGTTTTAGAGGTGTCCAGTTGCACACAAAAAATTATGGATGAATACTGCTCGGCCATGCTGTGTCCAACAGTGAAATCACTCCACACAATTTCAGAGACCATCAAGAAATGAAGCCAAACCACAAGTAAGACTTCAAATAGGCTAATTTGCTGGATGTCAGCACTTGAGCTGAATTCTTCCCAGTAGTCATTATAAAATTAAATTTACAGTTGCTGCGGGTGACGGCTTCATTGGGGGGTGTCTTAACTACAAGATTGGACTGTATTTCATATGCAACTGGTACATAAACAGGAAATTATGGAGATACTGTATTGGGAGATCTTAATTCAAGTAGAATAAGGAACACAATGGTGAACATATCCTGCAATACACAAACTGGATATTTCCAACTTTCTAAATCTAAATTACTTCAGGTCATAATCTAAATTCCCTTCTAAAATACGCATCAAAAATCTCTCCACTTTGAAATTTCGCAGGCCTTTCTGCTACTCCTGGTATCTGTTGATGCAGGAAAGAAAAAAAGTAACTTCGTTTTTTTAAAGACTAATAGGACAAATGAACCACTGCCTCCAAGTTCAACATGCAGTAATAACACATTTGAGAAGCCATTCAAGTCTTGAAAATATCACCAATTTGTTTCCCATTACAAAAATGCTCGTTTCCCCAACTGGACACCTTACTGTAGGTCAAATTTCTTTCTGGTCCCTTGAGACTCAGAGAGGTTCAAATATACTCATTCTTGTATCACAAAAATAAATTAAAACATGTTTCCAGAAAACACTCCTCCCACGAGAATAACAGTTTTATTCATCCTGCATGCTGTCGCGCGGCACCCGAAATGAACAACCACCAGGTGGACGGTTACGTCAGCCGGCGCGCCAACAAATATCCAGAAAAAGCTAAGGCTATTTTTCCGAGAAGCTGAATACGAGCATCACCGTTGCAGAAGACCTCAAAAAATCCCTCATTCCCCACAGGACGCACGCGTCGTTTCGATGAACTACACGCTATTAACCATGGTGCAGTTACTATCAAAGGCACTTGCAGAAGAAAACCAAGGAGGCCGCCTGCGCCCATTCCCTCAAAACGATGTTAAGTTCTCTCTTTGTGCGAACGAATCACTACAATTACTGAGCCCGAAACTTGAGGATTCCCCTTCAATCCTTGCAAAATATCATCATCTGTGGGCAGAATAAGATTTCGCTGTCTATAGGCGACTTATTCTGAAATTTCCTCAGGGTGAAAAAAAATCGTTGTTCGCCGGACACGCAGAGAAGGCAGATCTGAAACGTTATTTTGGAAATGGTCGTGAAGCGACAAGCATCCGTCAGGACTACGGTTGAACGCACCATCAATTGATCACTGGAGCAAAATATTGCACGAATAATTCCATTTCAACAACCGGTACTGGGGATCATCAATCCCACTGGCATGGATTCCTGATAACAGAAGATGCAAAAACAAAAAGTCGAGCAAAGGTCACGATGAGGGTATAGCAACAAAAACGCTTCGGGTTGCAGATAATTTTCAAAATCAAATGATACAATTTATCGCTGTTCAAAAACAAAATTGACAGCATTTGGTTACAGCATCGGGCAATAACTAGGATTCGCATGAGAGACACAAGAACTTCGAAAATAATTTAGTAAAAAATACCTAATGAGCGCAGATCAACCTAAAAAAAAAAAAAGTGGCCCAAACCCATCGCCACACATAATGTCAAAATCTGTTTGTCCTATTTTTTTCATCTGTCCCATTTCAAAAATTTGGTTCTCAATGTCATCCACAGAACCAGAGCGGGCACATATACCTCAGCACATCCAACACAGAAAACAGAAAAAAAATAGAGAAAGGGTTTGATCAGCAATTTCATCATTACATACTTCGAAATGCATGCACCCACACTCCTCTTCAGGCAAGGACAAATTTATGCAGACCCACTCTTGGAGCTAAAGCGTAAACCAATCGAACTTTGTCCGTGATCGGTAACGGAGACCAGGTCAAATGTAAAAGCGTGCTTTTTGCATCATTCTCAAATAAAAATCTTCATACTGCACATCCTTAAATCTTTATGAAGAATTATCATTGGATCAATCTTACCTAAAGCTAGCCTTACCTAATGCTGAATCAAACCTGCCTGAATTCAATGACTCACGGATTCATCAATGTCCTTTTTCTCATGGTGAAGTCACTTAAATCGGCATATTGAAAAAAAAGTCAACAGTCAAATCTTGAGAATTTTCACGAAAACACAAAAAGCTGTGTTCATGTCACAAGTGGCACGAATTAAGGCTCAAAATGCCGCACTTTCGAAAGACCTCACCTTCATACTAGAACGTACTACATCGCCTTTCATCCAATTGAACGCTGGGAAATTCTGCACATAATTCTCAATTTTGTTATCTGATTCACATCAGGGGAAACATTGCATCCACAATTCAAAATCAACCTATCCAATCATATCCAAATATAGAAATCATGACCATCTAAAAGGGGGATGGTATGAGGAATAGGGTTGCTTTGTTCACGTCCATGCATCTATTGATCATCCATAAAAAAAAATAAATACACACCCACATACGCAACAGCAATCACCGCAATACGGAAGCACGACACAAGGGAGAGTCGCTGGAATGACAACGATTCCATCAATGGCTAAAATGCCTTGCACAAAGCAAAATGACACCATTTCAGAAGCCCATAAAAAACCGCGTACGAAATCTACCGCACATCAACGGATACTTGAAACCAATCCGGAGAGGATTCAATCGACGTTCAAAACTACTCTCGTCGTAATGTACGGCTTGAAATTGCACTCAAATGCGGATGGGGGAAAAAGCAAATGCAACGTCACAATGGCTGAGCTACAGGGACCAGGGTAATCCGTCAGAACGAAACCAGGGTCAGTTTCGCGCACACTGCAACTCATCAGCTCCTCACTTCCGCACAAACTACCGCTTACGGGCAAGGAACCTGGATCATTCTCAACCAAAATTCAGCGAACGATTTCTACGCACGCATTTCAACGGGCGAGACGTACAGTGAAGTGATATTCGAGGGGGGGAAATGCAAACAAATGATTGATCATGATTCAGGGAAGAAAGCATGGGAATAGAATCACGGCGACGGACACGGTGACGACTGATGCCAAAGGTAAGCGTAACCGCACGGAAGTCGTGCGTCAGTCTGTTGAGACCTCACTCGCAGCCCATTTCCATACTCTCTGGGCTTTTCTCATCGACACTTTGGTGAGAGCTGTTTTCCGGCGATGACAGCCCAGGCGAAGAAAAAAGCTGGTCCGCATTGGTACAGTAGGGACTGGCGCCTTCCTCCATCAAGTCCAGACCCGCGTAATCCAGGGTGAGTCGTGGGCTCGGCAGAATCTGATCAGAGAAGAAAGTTAAGGATCAGATCGGGGCTACAATTCCCAGTTGTTTAAAAAAAATTTTTTATATTCTGATTCCAAGTTGAGTGGATTACCCTTGTACGCGCCGAGCTGATAATAAAAAAAATCTTAGAAGGTAAGGAAAATCATAAGTGAGAACTTCGCAATGCAAATACTGTAACTATTTATGCACGGTAATGCATTGTAAGTGGCGTACTCTGCTCGAAGATTTTTGAGGGTTTCATAACAGCTAACACATATTTCAATCCGCGTTTCCTGCGGAATAAACTGAAAATCCCAAATAGTGAATTTGTTTTTTTCTTCAGATATGCTAGAATGCTTTTGAATGAGGGTGTGTGGGAAATATTTTTTGAATCCTGTGAACGCTGACAAGTACCAAATGAAGATTTTACATCCATCAATCAAGAAATTGCAATATTGTACGTGAACCTTTTTCACCGGACCTTTCTGACAACCCAGATGGTTTGATGTCCCCCCAATTCCTTCATCAAGTTTCTTAAAATACGCTCATAGAGGTAGGAATGTGTTTAGTTTAGAGACGGACCACGTTACTCTTACCCACACGCACATTAGAATGCTCTGGAACAAATCGTACCCAGAACATTGCACGTAAGAAAATTCTCATGCGCAAAATGGATGCGATTCACTGTCATTGGAACATTGAATACAAATTTATGTAAGTAAATATGGAAAATTTTGCGCATTGTTGAGCAGGGACTGTCTACTTTTCGTACGACATAAAGTACTGGATTCAGAAGGAATTGAGAGTACATTATTCCAGAATTCCTAGATTAAAAAAAAAAGCATAAGGCATCTCTCTGGCCCGTTCTCAACAGCAACAAAATATATCGCGAACTTAATTTTGCGAAGAACAGAACCAAGATAATACTGTAGTTATTCCTGAACTTTTATTTTTCTCTCCCCGATTCAGATATAATTTTTAGTACCATTCGATAATTTTCAGCAAGGTCTAAATGCCAGAGAGTGCCCAAAAATTACCATCTTCTACAGTGAAGCCTCGGCACATTGAAAAATCTGAAGAATTCGACGAATGACGACGCATTTTCTTGTCAACTTACATGATACCGTATTTACCCAAGTACCACTAGCCCAGGAGTACGAAGCGCACCAGAGGTTTTCAGTCAAAAATTTCGATGAAGTTTTACCCTCCGACTTAGACGCGCACCCCATTTTTATTCACTCTAACACTGACATACAGAATTTAAAAACTTGGAACACGACATTTTCATTTACACAGGAATTTAATGTGAATTCCATCAATTTTCAATTGCTTTCATTAAAATCAGATTTTCTGTTGGCATTGGTCCATAATTTACCATTCGAATCATATAATGCACACCTAAACTTGTAAATCTTTTTGAAACATTTACACCCGACTATGATACACACCCCGTCCTCCCTTCCTCTCGATTTTGAGAAAAAAGTGCGCTTTGTACTCGAGTAAATACTGTAAATTACTTCCTTGGCGTCACGTGAAAACCGGACAATCGTCGTATTCCCATTCCGTCGTACTGTATATGGTTCTTCATATATTGTACCAAAATAAGGCGGTGCCCAACTCAAACTGGTGGTGGTCCACATGGCACAGACGATAGTCTTTGTGGGCCGCAAGAAAAAAATTTAAAAATTCCTTTTTCTTTCAGTGCGAGTAACAATGCCCTCAAAATGGTCGACGTGATCACCCAAGAATTTCTGGAAATCTGTTCTTGGGAGTTGGATTGATCTGCATAAGCGGTTCTCAAATATGAAGTGAGGTGGCTGGTGGGGTGACTACCACGGGCAAGAGAGGAATGCTCCACGGGCCGTATCTTGGGCACCCATGTGTGCCTCAATTTCATATTCCCTCCGCAAGCATCATCAGGGTTCCTCACAAAAATCAGTACAGTACTACACAGTATAGTGTTCGTACTCACGTCCGTCTTGTCGCGCTCGAAACCGAGCATGCTGAAGGATTCAGGATCGGACAGGACAAAACCCAGAGCGTCGAAGTTGGTCGACTGATGAAGCGACGAGTGAAGACGAGAATGCGCGTCCGCCACGTCAGAGAGCACCAAGCCGCCGGCAGACGCGTTCATCCCGACGCCCACAGGCAATTGCAACGCAATCGGCAACGAATCGTCATTGAGCGCAAAGGTGTCCTGATCATGGCCCCCGTTTAGGGCCATGTTCCTTTCGACGACATTTACGGGGGAAGCCGGGTCGGCGGGATGAGAGCAGGAAGCAGTCACCACGTTTTGAGGACTGGATCTTTCGACAACTGCGTCGACTTCGCGACCGGTGCACGGGCCGTGGGTCTCGTCGGAGCCGTACCAGCTTCCCGTCGAGTTGGAGCCCACCGGCGAAATGCCATGCCTTTTCATCTGAGCCTCGAGGTTCTGCAGATTGAACATGAGATTAAACATTAGCGTCTAGTCGGTTACAGTTGTACCTCCCCCGAGTCTATTTTAGAGGTCGAATTATTTTCAAGTCCCTGTCGACCAGCAAATGCCCCAAAGGCGGGACGTAGAAAAAAAAAAGGTCCCACATTTCCCATATTTGATACAACCTCTGAAAAAAATCACCCGTTCAAAATAAAACTTTTAAAAAATCCCCACGAAACGTTTTTCCGTCACAAGAAGACATGAGTTCGCAATAAGCCTCCGTCGAAGTTCAATAAAAAAAGAGACGAACTTAAAAATAAAAGCGTACATGGTTCTGTAATTCCAAGAAACACATGAACAAAGAAGAACTTTTGGAATTACAATCGAACTTCGATAACTCGAACATCCTCAAGTCGAATACCTCCCTACGTAGAATTTTGGAAGTCCTTGTCTGAATTTCCTCGGGAACAAGGCATTAAAAGCCTCCCTTAACTCGGAATTCTGGAGGCTATTTGGCTATTATTTTAATGACCACACGTAAGAGAAAGCAAATAAAATGTAACTTGAAGTGTTTTGAAAGGATGTGAGAGAATAATTGAACAAATGAACTTTTGCCTCCGAGTTCAGAATCCTGTCAACTTAAAAAAAAAACTATTCAAGTCTTCGAAATATCCAAAATTACAATTTCCTTTTTCTCTTTCTTTCCCCCCAGCACAAATAATTGTTTCCCTAATTCGAAACCTCCATTACAGGAATTGTTTTGCTGGTCCCTAGAAGTTCGATTTGAAGAGATTCGACTGAATATGGTTCTGGACCAGGATAATTCTGATAATCCTAGACCAGGATGGTTCTGGACCAAGACCTGGACCAGGTCTTGGCAGGATAATTTCCAGCCGAAGTTTTTTTTTCCCGAATCGAGCTGTAGAATTACAGTTCTCTATTATCGTAAGCCAAAGTAATTCTTCCATTAGCGCCCACTGGATTTAATATGGATTAGCGTAAGGAAAGACAGTTGGAAGTACACTTCCCCCACACCATTGACCAGAGCAGTAAAGGTTGCGATTGAAAAGGATCCTTCATAATTGAAGAAAAGTCTTCTCTTCAGCTTCGGGCAAGAAAATAAATCCCGGGACAGCACTGTGAAAAGTTTTTAGGATTGTTCCAATGGCGAATTCACGTGATGAAAAACAGAAGTAGATATGAAGAGTTAACTAATCGGCAACGACGTTAATCGATGAAAAACAAACCCCCGGACTTTGTGCTCAAAATTAATGACTGCAAACATTCAGATACAGTACTTCTTGAATGCTCATCAACACGCACGGAATGGTGTAAGCAACTTATAGAAAATATGCACAGCGGGTATTGAAAAATGAAAATCAGCAGGACAAGCATTTTCAATAAGGCCCGTCATGAAGTTTTGTCTTCATGGCGCACCATCTTCGAATTCCATTCACTCCGACGGAACCCACGAAATTTCTTATGACGCAATTTTGGGTTTTCAAGATGCAGTTGAGGACCCAAGACGAAGAAACATGGAAGCCGAAATTATGACCACATCCGCATTCAGTTTTATTCACTGGTTTATACATTTTGAACTAAAAATGACCCGAACAACTCGGAAACAGTGGTGAATACCCTTCATGCCCAAATGAACGCCCGAATACTTTATGCAGGACCCACTGCTCTCTTTCTAAAATGTGGGCTGCAACCTCGGGCATTGCATTTCTCTACTTTTCCAACGTACCCCAGGACCTTTAATAATAAACATAATACATGTAATATTATAAATCCCTCGGATTTTCTTACTTTTATATTTAGTCGGGTGTTCATTTTTAAAAAAAAAATCTGTTCAAGGGCAGAACAGCGAAAAAAATCCCGCATTTCCATGTTTGACAACACCTCTCGAAAATTACCTGCTAAATATATAATTTTTTTAAGCCACACGAAACGTTTTTCCGGCACAAGCAGACCTGAGTTCGCAATAAGCCTCTGTTTTGTTGGAAATACATGGTACTGTGCTTCCAAGAAATGCAGGAATGAAGAGGAAATTTCGGCATTACTGTACCAAGAAAAAAAACAGTAACAATTCGTTACAACGAAGCTGTTGGCACCAGGAAAAAGCTTCGTCTGGAGAGATTTGAATACAATCGTCGCTATCGGACAGGGGCCTGAAAAAATAATTCGTTGTACGAGATTAGTTGTAATGGAATTCTACTTTACTGAACGATACGTCGGAGATACTTTTCGAGAGGAACCTGCTTCAGAGTCAGTAGCGCAATGACATACGTGGTGAGCCGACGACGGGATTCGTTAAAAAAGACTAAAACACGGCTTTAAAAAAAAGGCATAAAATCAGAAACAATGTCGGTACAGTTTTTGAAAATGTCAAACAAGACGATTGTTTTGTTCCTCCCGAGATATTCCGAGTAACATTTGTTCCGAAGGGAAACCAACAGCGATTGCATGGTGGAAAGGAACTCATTGTCTGCCCTGCCTTGGTGACAAAACCGCCGGACCCCTCATCTGGGATTCAAATGCACGCGGCGACGGGGGAGGAGAGGGAATATCTGTGGCCTGGATCCCTCGGGCATGTTCTGCATGCATGTCCGGCGTCCATAATGATGCTTGATTCCCTGTCGCGCTTTCTTAATGCAAATTTTCCATTCCCTCGCATTATTTACCTGGCCATTATTGTGAAGATGGTTTGTCTTGTGGGCCGATTCTCGATCGCGATCTGCTCTTCCCGTCTTTCACAATTTGCCGCTCAACTCGAAGAGTCCGATGGTTTTTGAATTCGAAGTTTTCAAATAATACCTTGGGCATAAATAGTCAAGCCTCTCCAAGTCGGATTTCGAGGGACCAGCAAACAAGTTCGACTTAGGGGGGTTCCGAGTCGGGGAAAGAAGCATTTTTTTAAACAAGAATTACAGGAAATTGTAACCGGTGATATTCTGGGCCTTGAATTGCTCCTTAAATGAGTTGAAGGGATACTGAGCTAGGAGCATAGGTTTATTTGCGGAATTTATCCTTCATTTCATTTCAAAACCCATCAAGTTACTCTCTCATTGCTTGTCTCTTTCCTGTGTCGAGAAAATAATATCTAAAAAAAAAAACCAAGAAAATTTGACTTATAGAGGTTTGAGAGGAAAGGCCTTCGAGTTAGGGAGGTCTTTAATAGATTTTTCCCGGGGGAATTCAGAAGAGGACTTGAGAAGAAGAAAAATCGACCAAGGGAGGTTCACACTAAGGTTCTTGAATGTTTGCCTCACATTCGGGGTAAGAAAGATTTGAAGTAAGAAGAGCTTGCACGAATTTGAGTCGATGAACTGTGATCACTTATCCGATCCGAAAACTTCACCGGGCTTCTGCATTACTATACTATAGTTTTTATCTCGTCAGCTTCAGTGGGACAACAGCGACAAGATAATAAAAACTTATTTTCTGAATTCGGAACTTCAACTTAGCTTTCAATTAATTCCACGAGTGGGCATCTGAAGTTCAACCCAACACTTAAACTAGGTTGACTAACCATAAATCGAGCGAATTCGAGATTTTAACGTGAAAAAATAAAACTACTTCACTAGCTTCGCCTATGATTCAGACGAAGTCTGATGAAATATTTTCCAAATTTTAGAATAACTATATTGACTACCACTTTGTTCCAAATAAATGCGGCTTTTTCGCATTAACGTCTGGATAAAATTTGGCTGCCGTGCAAGATGCCATTACAAAAATAAAAAACAACTCATGCGGTCGGCGGTAGGAATGATTGTGCAATGAAGAATTTAAAATTTAAAGTGTGTGAAGAAGGGATTTTCTTTACCAGACGTGCAATTACCGCAGTCGCTACCAGCGGAAATGTGCAGTGGTAACCTTAAAGTGCTACGCAGAGGTGTTTTTCATTGAAGTTTCAATCTGTGGTGGACAGTGGCCAACCCAAGAAAATTATATCCCCGGTTTCATACTTTCATCACCAATTCAATACACCCACTCACACCTCATACAATCAGATATTGGCTAATTTTGACATGAAAGTCAAACTTACTCATGCTCTTCGCTACTCATGGCTGTTGCCAAAATTCGAGAAAAAAAAAGAATTGAAAATGTATCACAAGCTGTTCTGGCGGAGGTCAACAAGAGTAGAATGCAAGATTTAGATTATTTAATACGAAAAGTTTTCAAAATTTGATTTTTTACGAAGAAGTACTGTATATAACCCTCGGCGTGCGTTACTCGGAGAGTGAAGGCAAAGCTCAGAGTTGAATCAGAAAACTTTAAGAATTTTCAAAATACGAAATTATAATTTTTTTGGACTTTTCTTAGTTCCCCATGTAACAGTCATTTCAACGACAGAAAAAAAGATTTTCGCGTCAATCTGCCGCCTCTAAAAATAGAGAATATACAGGATTCAAATCATAATTCGATTGTCATCAAAGTTCACTATCACGAAAAAAGGTCATTCATGAAGTCGAATTAAAATTGGAACACTATTGGCATCCAGAAGTCATCTCGCGCGGAACTGATTCTGATCTGACGCCTCCAATATTAGAGGTTTTGAAGTTTCTCGATTGATTTATACATTTCATAGCCAGTCCACGTCTAATCAAAATAGGATTCGAATGGAAAACTCAAATGATTGCCGACATAAATCAGATTCGATTGATTCAGTTGCGGCTCAAATCAGCTGGAAACGGGAGAGGCTTGGAATTTCAACACCGAAAGTCCTTTCCATAAATATTTTAGACGCGAAGCATTCCAGCATTAACGTACCATATATATATAATGTAGAGCAGCTTTAATGTAAAGGGTTCCCGAATAATTTTGAAGGATCTTCACATTGGGGTCCGGGAGAATTTTAGATTAGATGCACGGCAAATCGTGAAGTTTCGTACAAATCAGAAAAACAGCATCGAACATTATATGCCAATTCACGGAAGACACCTCTCAACGCACCATATCAAAATGTAATTCACCGCTGAATGTTTCAATCTCGTTAAAGGTCAGCAATCGTTGCAACATTCCATCTCTTCCGGATAAACTTCCTTACTTTCCGAGGGACCCAGACTAAATTTAGCCCGGTCCCGATATGGTTTGGGGGACGGGAAAGTGAACCAATATCAAAGCATTAAAGACGATTTTACCATTTCGGGTCGAGGACGTCGCATCCGCCGCATTTGGTTCGCTGCTTCGTTTCGAGTACAGTACAGTATTGTAAAGCGAATGTACGGGTAAAAATAGATCAGAACTGGAGAACAAATAATGTCAACATAAATTTAACCCCCAGAACCTCAACGCTTCAATTTTTCCTCGACTGACAAAAAACCCCCTGATTACCATAGATGAAGAGAAAATGGCTTCTAATCAGCAATTCAAAGAAAATTTTCATCACCACGGAACATCCAGAAAATAAATACGCCATTTCCGAAAGAACAAATTTCCGAAGCAAAATAATTTTTTAACCAAGGTACGAATTCCAAGGGGTGAAAACAAAAACCATCGTAGAAAAAGTAAGCCTTGAATTTATTCTGCTTCCTGAGAGGTACGAACACTAGGGATTTTAAGCGGTGATACTAAAAATGTCAAGATAATTTGGACAACATTTTGAACACAAAAAGCTTCTCAAGTGAATAGGTTAGAAACATAAACTTAGTATCAAATGTCATTTCCATTCAATCCAGTTTGAAATATCTCTGCCCCAAATGCTTCGCTTTAATGAATTATTATCGTTATTTGAAAAAAGACACGAAGCTCCTTTCAAAAAATCGTCGAGATAGAGAGAAAAGTTTGATTGAACTTGAATACATCGAAATTTTCAAGTCGCAAAAATGAATTTAGTGTGAGAGAATGGCTGAAGTATATACTTTACTTCACAGGCTCTCAACTGGAACGTAATTTTTAACTTTTGTGCTTCCCAAGATGTTTATACTGGCCGTTTGAAAAATGACCACGGGTGTAAATAATTATAGTAGATTAAAAAATTAATCTAAAAAACCACGTTTTCAAATATCCTGAAAGTTTCAGCTTGATAGCTAGTCGGGAAGTGAGTGAAATTTGAGTTTCAAAATTTGATCTGGACAAACAGACAGACAGACAGACAGACAAGAAAGTGAGTTCATAAAAACGTGGTAATAAAATGGAAATCAAGGAAGCTACGTGGGAGATGATATTCGTGGAGTTCAATGCACAAAATCCCTAATTCTCAACACAATACTTACAAATCTTGAAAAACCCACGGACTTCTTACTGACGCCTTCTACATACAGTATTCCAGATCAAGCTAATACGAATAAGAAGCATCCATAATTTGTGGGACTTTTGCCCCCGAAATATGGTTTCATGTGAGAGGCAGAACATTTTCTGACACCGAGATACAGTCGGATTGATTTCAAAGGTTTAAGAAGGGCAGCAAAAATGGGGAGAAGTCAAAGAAGAAATGTCACAAAAATTCCCGATGCTACAGCAAATACAGGTGGACTCTTTTCACAACGAAATTCAAGAGACCCGCAACATTCTTCGCAGAGAACCCCAATAACATGGAGTGAGAACCCCACGGGACAAAAAAAATTCTTCGCACAAAGAATAGAGTTAAAGAGAGAGAGATTTCACCTACATAGTACCACTGCACGTCAGAAAAATGTTCAGGAATATTCTTCAAAGAAAACTCCTCAGATGATGAAAATAAGCGCATGGAATATTCACCTGAATGTGAAGCACAAGTCGTTTCATTTCTTGCTCCATCGCATTATGCCTCTCTTTGTACTCGAGCAGCACGTTCGTCTCCGTGCGCAAACGCTTGATGTAATCCACCGACGCTCGCAAAATAGTTCCTTTATTTTGGCGCTGATCCCGCACTAGATCAAAATCCCTGCTGGCAAGAAGTATCACACCATGAAACCCAGTCGAGAAAACATTCTTACGGCGGTATTTCTCACCGTTCGTTCGGCTTCGGCAGCAGGGTTCCTAATTCTTTGATCCGATCGTTGATGTTGAATCGCCTTCGTCGTTCAACTGTGAACACATTTTTGAATAGCAAAATATAAGCCCCGAAGTGGAATAAAAAAGGAGGTAACCAACAGTTCGAAGTTAAATACAGCATGAATTGATAATGAAAATCTTTACAGATTTTCCTCCCGAGTCGGTCAGAAACCTCCTGATCAAATGGAATCCTTCATCTTTCGATAATCCACCATCGATGGATACGACTTCAACAAATATCTGTTTTTCAAATACTGTAATAGATTCGCCTTCGGTGAAAGGCGTCACTGAAGTCAATAAAAAATTTCTCAACTGACTGCACTGCAGTTCGAATGCATTATTTTAAATATTGTACTCAAACCCACACGGAACATAATCTTTTACAGTATATCCTCATCAATTACATTGCGCCGTTTTTCGCCAAGCTGGAGGACCAGTTTTCACGATCAGATATAATCATATGATCAGAAGAAAAATTGTCGAAGAAAACGCGGAATATAAATACAGGTACAGTAATTTATTAGTGGACACAAACCACACGAAAAAATTTGAAAAATCTGGTTCTCAGCATAAATTAGACCGGAAAATATGACACATCCTTGAAGTTCGCTACGTGATCACTTGAAGATTTATCGTTACAACTTCCGGTTATTCTTGACTTTTAGCGAAAATATTCTTCGCGAGTCAGAATGGGCAGTGAACGTCAACAAGAAAGAAAGAAATCCTGCGCAAGCGCTTCAGCTAGTAATCTTCTCATGCTGTATGCTTTCAAGTCAAGCTCGTCGTGGACTATTGTGAAAAAAATTCTTCCAATTCCCATCACAAATATTAATTTTAAAGAGCCGGAACAGCAGAGAACATCCCCGAAAGAGAAGGGAGGAGCAATAAATGCATTTATCAAAGCCAAAAGCATGGACCTTAGAAAAGAGTTCTTTTGACTTCATTTACGATGAAACAGTATGCTGTTCAGGTCAGCTTTACAGATTGCTTTATCTAACCGAACTGCATCGCCGTCAATCGCTGATGAAACAGTTCCACACAAATGCCATCTCTTGCATTTCTGCACGCGCTGATTTGGAAACGCCATTCTGTGATGCGCTCGATTGCCCAGTCACAAGCCTATGACCCACTCCCCCAAAGATTTTTACAACATTTTCGAAGGACAGAAAAATGGGCATTATCGCTATGAACCCCGGAAAAAGGAAAATATTTCGCCCCAGGCGTTGAATCATGACCACCCGAAAATCTAGAAGAATGTTCAAACTTCAAAGGCATATTGATGTACCCCGAAGGACCGCCTCAAATCGTACGCGTATTTACGTATCCTGACAAGATGATAACGTGGGCGCACTCCCGACGACAATCCCATTCCATAATTTTACATGTTTTCTTCAGCCATGGGTACGAAATACGCGAGGACCCATTTTCAAGTACGCCGATCATTAGACTCGATAATTCTTAGGAATTTGAATACTTCCGAGGACGGTCGGAGAGCCCATCGGTTATGCCGGCGTTTCTGAAATTAGGGACAAATAACTATCTCTTCCGGAAACCTGACCTTCTCGCACATGCTGTTCTAGCAAGTCTCTTTTTGAGTTGAGAAAATGAACCAGAGCAACAGCGCTAAAACTTTTCATGCTCAACACTCACTGACTGAGTTCTGTTAAAATGTATGAGTAAAACTCCGTTCATAAAACAACTCTTCAGCGAAGCGTGACACAACAAAATTCGAGCATCGAGGTCTCTCATCTCACGGTATTTAGCGAAGACAAAATGATTTGTACTCTGTAAACATCAATCAAAGTACAGTATAGATTATAGAATAATCAGATTGCGCTTACATTTATTCTTTCGCGACCGAACTCGAATTGTTCGATCTAAACCGATAAATTATTCGGGCACATTTAACGAAACCCGTCGAAGGGCGGAATGACTCGTTTAATTTGTCATATACTGTACTGTACTGTGTTTTCAATCTTAAGAAACGCTTTGAGTTCTCGAAGCACTACAACTTCGAAAAAGGAAACCTGTGCTCAATTTGTTTTTTGGGTGAGAGGGGACACTTTCGAATAACAGATCAGTCTTGGGACGAGTGTTTCGCTCGCAAACTCACTCAGATTGTGGTTGTCCTTCTTCTGACGATCTTTGGCTAAAGCGCGAAGCTCTGCATCAGTGACCACTTCTGGCTCCTGCTTGATAGACAAGGCATCCAGGACACTGTCATCGTTGGACTTGCTTCTTATTCCGTTTG